TCATGCATTTGTCTGTGTGCACGCGCTAATAGTCGAACATTTAGGCAAACCCCAGCGCCTCAACACCTGAAATCTCAACCAGTAATGGGATAGAACTTGTCCTTGTCCCCAAAGAGCGGTGTATTGGAGTTGCGACAAGGAGAAAAACGTAACATTATAAGGTGACGATTCTTTGTTACTGAAGTCAATAAAGCCAAATATTTGCCGTCAGGATGTGCACATTTTTCAAAGGCACAATGTGAGGACAAGTGAAGGGGGGAGGAATCCGTTAAATTCACTCTAAACAATTGAGTAATCTCATGTTTTTGCAGATGTTGACAAGTTTGCATTTTAACCGGAAAATCGGATTTTGTACTGCACCAATGACGAAAAATGTTTAACCTCGTTAAATCTACTTGCAAAAAGTAGCCTTAATGTCGGCAAGAGCTTACAGAAACAGTGTGACATGAATTGCCGTAATGAATCGCAAGCGATCTATGTTAAATTTGTGCATGCGTTTTCACAGACTGGACTAAACAAAAGCAGAATGAACAATCGACACAGAAGCCATTAGCCTACACTGAGAAAATAATTTTCCGACTGTTTTGGGGTTACTGCCTTGCAGCACTTTGGGAACCGCTACAAAGGCATAAAATGAGTGAAAGTAGCAAACACAGAAGATGCCATCGCGTAGCCTTCCACACGAACTCGTCGACATCTTTTGCCATATTTAGGTTAGGGACTATTCGTGGTGCAGAGCATGAAAAAATTCCGTTTGCACAAGTGGGCAAGAAGTTAATCGGTTTACTGGACCACAGGGCGGACGCCCTTGTTGCATAGCATGAAGACAATTATCCACAAATTCGAGGCACTGATATGAAAGCCTAACAACAAACACTTTGTGAACTCGCTAGTTCGTTCATGCTTCAGTGTGCTCCTGGATGTAAACCAGCGACATCGTGCATCTGTGGCAAAGCATGTGCCTCTTTAAAGTCAGCTCACCAAAGAGAATGCATTTAAAACGAGCGTAAAATCTTTACTACAATGAAATTATAAGGGGAATAACAGATGCAGTTGTATCGGGTAGTTAATAACGTTAGTGAGCAACTACGCCATAATATGACATTCTAAGAAGCAAAACTGAGTGGCCTTTCGACTAATTAACCTTTAATTTTCCTAATCATCGCTAAGCTAGGTAATTATTGATGACAGATTATTTTAGGGATTTTGAGGCGTTTTGGGCACTTTAGGATACGTTTCTACATATGGCTGGTATGGAAGGCAATCCGAAGCCTCGAGTCACGCGGTTTCCCGCATCTGTAGGCATCAGTGCGACAAAATCCAACTGATGCGCTATGAATTTGTAAACTCGTGTCGGTTAAACCGCAAACCACCTTCGTTACGTATTAAATTCCAAGGGTATTTGAGATGAAGCTAAGAGTAGCACACAAAAATAAAGAATCACGACAGTGTTGAGAAGATTAAGACTTTTCTCTAAAAGCAATGCTCCATAACAGTTTAGGTTTGCGAAGTTAAATTAAAGAGAATCCGGAGGAATACAAGTTGGATAAGCAATCCACAAGCCGGTAATTGACTGTGTTAATGAACATAAGACGCAATTAGACGAGCTCGCAAATCAGATGGTGGAGAAGTAGAGTACGACTTACATCACAACATTTTCGATTGCATTTGTGACGACCACAAGATTTTTTCTTCCGACAAATCCTTTCGCAAAGAAATTCAGCCGAGCCTATAAGAAGAACAAGGCTTACACAAGCAACCGGGAAAGCAAAGCAGGGCGTGACAAAAGGCAAGAGTCCCTCTCAAGTAAACGTGCTTTACTAAAAATAGCTTGTCCCAGACAAACCGCAACTATATCCATGACGACCTCTTCCCCACAGGTTATGCACATCAACACGTCCTAAATCCAGCTTATGTTGTGATCAGTACCTCCACCACCCCCTGTCTGATGAGCGGCCAACATTGAGTGTGCTAATGGCTAAGTACATTTTCCACTTGCAAGATCGTGGACGATTACGGGGACTCAGTCCCAAGGAGTTTACATAATCGTGCACGAGATTCCTGCAAATATCTACTTCACTTGACAATCACAACGAAATCGCATGGTTTAGGCGTTTAAACAAATGCATTTCTAACGCTGTCACGTACAACTCAAAACGTTGCAGTGCAATGTAGGCAATGACACGACTGCAGAGTGGATTCAACAAACGTTTGCAGCAAATAAGCTTAGCACAACCGACCAGAGAGAGATGTGGAACTTACTTGACTTATTCAGCATTGACTGAGCACTCTCAGAGCATGAGATTACTTTGGAGGACTTTCCGCAACGACAAGTTATCTGAGCAGTTAGTTTGCAAGGTGGGCAACTGGGTCCAGGATGGCACTTTTCAGGGCACGGGTGTCCGCAAATGGGGTTCGGGCGGCCACAAATGTTAGGACAGAGGGGTATAGGATCTGTACACACCTTCCGGTTGCCATAAGCGTCACCGTCCGCCACCTGGACAAGACAATTGGGCAAAATTTTTATTGAAAGGTGGTGCCTACGAGCCACGTGACTCAGTCCCACACAGCTAAAAGTGAAAAGCTATTAAGTCTCTGACGTTCCAAAAGCGTGCTTCCAATGGTGATGTTACAGCAAACAGGGACAAGTTCTATCCCATTACTGGTTCATTTTCTTAAACATTGTAGGTAAAATCACCTCAAACATGACAATCCTGGTTAAACTTTTGTCAGGCATATCGTACTATACCGGTTGAGATTTCAGGTGTTGAGGCGCTGGGGTTTGCCTAAATGTTCGACTATTAGCGCGTGCACACAGACAAATGCATGAGATACTCTGCTCACTTGTTAACCCATCACACCCCTTTTAGCAAGTTGTCCTCACGAGAATACACATGCGCAATTAACACGTCTCCTGTTTGATACTCAAACAAGACAACTCTGTGGTAGATCCAGAGTGGAAAAAATGCGTCTTGTGCTGGTCAAAAACGGAATGGTAAGAAGGATACTGCGAAGGTGGCTTCCAACTGTTGATCCAGTGAGTCAGAACTTGGTGGATGTGTCACGGAAGAGGATCGAAGAAGCAATAAGTTCTTAGGCGAGGGGATCCTTCTAGGTTGCACGATGCAGTAGCGGTTTAGTCACTTCTTTCTTTCTTGTTTCTTTAACAAAATAATGGTCGCATTGCATAGAAGCATGGATCTTTCTATAATGTACATTGACCGCTATTTTATCGTTTTCAAGTGTTTTAGTGAAATTTGCCCTAATAATATTTCCAGACTTTTTAAAACTGTCAGCTTCGTTCCTTGAGTCGGGCGCCGCATCTGTTTACAAACGCCTGTGGGAGCGTCACCGTGATGTGTGGACCCGAGGCCACATCACAAGACGGGCGTTTTGTTAGAATCAAATATTCATTCCGGAGAATTTTTACTCACACTCATTCGTAATGCGACCGAGCGACTGTGCGCGACGAATATGCCCGCACGTTTTGCAGCTCTGTCTGGAGTCGCGCTCCATTAGAGGTGGTGCGTAAGCATACTCTCCGCCTAATGTTCATGGGCTGGAAGTCGTCTGCGTAGGAAAATGCATTAAAGTAATGTTGGGCGTGGTGCTGCCTAACGATCCCTTCACTGCTGTACTTGCTTGCCTAAGTGCATTTAGTTGCTGCTTGGTCGTCTATCTTGAAATGTGCGTTGTTTGAGCTGCCTGGTTTCTCCCTCCAAAGCCCTGCCGAATTCTCAGAACTTGTTCACGAGTTAGATATGGCTTATTTCGCCAACTGTGCGCTGATCGTCAGTGTTAGGCAATTTTACACGAAGGAAACTCCTTTCGTGTCTGGTCTCGGGGGCCTTTGGAGCTGAGTTCGACCACATTCCATTATAGTATTGCCCAAGTGCGTGGACTCAAAAGTCGGGTGGTAGACCTGACCGTGTCAACATAGTCGAGATCCCACCAACGTTTTAACATGGATTCCGCACTTTGTCAAACCCCTTCATCCTTCCTCTCGTGTGCTCACCTAAGGGATCGTGACTCTGAATTTGGTCAAAACTCAAGTACATTCTCACACCCTGCTTAGATGGCGATTATGACGTTAGCGCATAAAAGGGTGGTCTGGAGGGAGCGATTATTCGATAGACTATTTGTGACCACGGTGAAACTTCTAATGCCTAACTATGGTGTACACAGTGTATTTATTCAGTTGGTGTTTCTAGTGCCGCGTGTCATGTGCCATCTGTGGATCGAAATGGTGGTGATTAGGTGGTTCGTTAAATTGTATTTATCGTCTGCGGCAGATGGTGATCCATGCTTGCAATGAGGTATGCGGCCGTATGCTGTCTTGTGGGAAGCACACCTGTGAAGACGTGTGTCACTGTGGTCCCTGTGGCACTTGTTGGCGCGGAGTCATCTACGAGGAGCTCTACTGTTACTGCGGCGCCACCTGCCTGCCCCCACCACAACCCTGCGGCTCCCTGCCCCCCGAGTGTCCAGAACCGTGCTCTCGAGAGCACCCATGTGACCATCCTGTGCAGCACACGTGTCACTCCGAGCTTGAGTGTCCCAAATGCACAGTATTAATGACCAAACGGTGTCTCGGCGGTAACTTGATTTTTTGCCTTTAAAAATTGCCTTTTTATATTTTAAACTGTTACGAAATTTCTCTATCATGTTAATGGATATTTTGGTCCTGGCAAACGTGTGTTCTCTGGCATGTAGCGTTCCACCGCAGGTCATAGTATTTGCTTGTCCTTTGCATTGTTAGTCATCCTAATGAGGGTAGTCATTCATATCCACTCTAGTAATTGGTCTTATATTTATCATTGTTTGATAAGACTGTGCATACCTTCTAGAATTTTGTAAACAACTCTGATTCTGACTAGCTTCGTGTTCTTTCATTGAGTAACTAGCGTTTCACACTTGCCGTTTATGCCATGACATTATCACTAACTGATATTTCATAGCAAAAGGGCACTTTACTCTTACATTCTTCATCTGCATGAAGCGATTACTAATGTATGAATGCAATCTATACTGAAATTGCTACCCTGTATCGTCATAATATAAACAGCATCACTAGGCTTCATCCCTTGTTTATGTTGTAATATCAAGTCTTGTTGTTGTAACTTTCCATCTCAAAGTTAGCATAAGACTGAGTTATCCACTTCCAACGAGTTGACCGCACGTAGGCGATTCGACAGTGGTAAATCTGTTAGTCTTGTGGGTACCAGTTGTTTCCGGTATTTTCGCCCAAACTCCGGTCTTTGCGTCATTCCCTTTTTTTGTTATCTTATTAGATCACACTTGGATGTTCAACGTGCCCTGTTTCCAGACTGTGGTCACTTGTGGACGGCCGTGTGACAAGCCGCTGCCCCGCTGCTCGCATCGTTGCAAACGACAATGTCACGCCGGACCCTGTCTGGCAGACGCTTCAAGCGAAGCCAGTGGCTGCACGCCCCTTGAATCTGCGTGCACCCAACCCTGCACGGCCCCGCGCTCTGGTTGCGGCCACCCCTGCGGCCAACCCTGTCACGAGGCCTCGGGAATCACCTGCAGTCAAGCTCTGGGCAAACTTAAGTGCCAATTTATGATCCCTCTTGTTTGTGCTTGTGGACACCGACAGGAGGAACAGCCTTGCTATCAGGTAGATCGGAATTTTACAACTATGTCGGTACACTCCTCCTCCTCCTCCCCTCCTACAAATCATTCCATAGGCCAGCTACTTAAATTGCCATCCCTGTATTCATCCACTTGCCACGAAACGGAAACGGAGCCTGTGACCTATAACCAATTGGAAATTTTCTATGTAATATTGTGTTTATCACCCGAGTGGTCCTAATTATAGTAGGCCTTTAGCTTATAGATGTATTTAGAAGTTCCTTTTCATAAAAATAAAAGTAATGTAAAATAAGCAAACCAAACTACAGCTTAAAAATCATGTTCATGCCCTATGGTTTCGAGCAGTCACTTACCACCTTCTAGCTCTTGCTTTCTCTATTTTTATAGTACGCGTCTTCCATTTTACACAAATCCTCATTTTCTTCTACTCGTTTTATTTTGGATAGCTTTCTTTGAAATACCAAGTTATTAAGACAACTGAATCATCGACTCCTAATTTTATAAGTGGCTGTGTTTATACAAAATCACTCTAGCATTTATTATTAGTGGTAAACATTTATCTTGGTGTAGTACTCTCTTCGAAACCCCCATTCCATATGCAGTCAAAACAATTCTGTCTTATGCGCCGTTCAGGCCTCGAAACCCTTGCCGGCGCTCGATGATTGGCCCGTTTGATGAATACACTCCCACCATCTGTTACACTTTTCCCCCAGAATAGAGGTACAAGTCCTTGCTTTCGAGAGTGTTTTTCGCTAATAGTCACAATTGCACTTAAGGTGAGTATTCTGGTCGCTGCTCTAAAGAAGAAGGACCCCAATTTCTTCCTGCGATCACAGAATTCGCAAAGTAGCAAACTGCCCTTCGGTCTTCCCTCCAACGACGTGTTGCCCTGTGACAGCTCGTGCACTCGCGCTAACCAAGAGGCCGAGGCAAAAGCCACAGCCCCAACCATGTGGGTCAGGGGGGGCGCCCATGTGGTGGACGACTCTCTCCCCGCTCCCTTCCCTCCGCCTGAGTATTCTGATTGGCTGAAACAATTTGCCTTGGATAACCTCAGTTTTGCTGCGGACGTGGAGAAGACGTTATATGAGCTAGTTGAAAAGGTAGGATGGTTCTCACAATGTCTGCATCACTAGTAATTCTCTTAATTTATGAATGCTCCTTTCTCAGGCCTTTAAGGATAAAATCTCCTACTTCAAATCATGCAACCGATGAGTTACCTTGTTCCCACCGTCGTCTTTTTACCTCCCAGTGGAATTCGCCTAAGTTGTGGCTCGCACTTCTGTCATGCCGTTAGACGGATTAGTACGCTACAATTCTTAATCCTAAACCGGGCTGTTATGTGAGGCGGGTAGACTCAATTACATCAGTGGCTTACTGCGTATTTATCTAGTGCGTTATTAGTATGCTTTGCCTAAATCCACGAAATGTTAAATGTACTGAGGAATGCATCCCTAGGTGTCTGCTTTGGTTGGCGTGGAGGGCGCCTTGAAGGATGCATCTGCTGGTGCTGGTCCCAGTCTACAGAGTTCGTGGAGGTCGATCGAGGCCGATTCTCCTATAATTGATTGTGGTCACCAATATTTGTTGTGCATAATAGTCTGCCAAACTTATGCGTGTCTGTGTCTCTATGCTAGGAGTTCTACGTCATGGTCAATTTGCGCACTTTTTTGTATTCACAGCATTTACTCTGTGATAATCTTTTTTTAGGCATTCGAAATCACAAAAGCAGGGAACAAGGCTGATTTTAACAAGTGCATTAGCCATCGGTTTGTCCCAATGAATCGACATAAACGCCGTTTCATAATTGAACTTGCCGAGTTCTATGGGATTGAGTGTGTGGAATTGGATCCCGGGCCCCATCGACATGTCCAGGCCCTGACCACCGCCGCGAAGGCGCGTTTTCCCGGTGGCGGGTCAAAGCAGCACTTCGTCAGTCTGGTGGGGAAGATGCAGAGCAATTTCGTGGGGTCCGTAAAATTCCCCGAGCCGGCACAGTCACAAATCATGAAACCAGCCTTCCTGCGAAGTGTTCAGGATGACTCCTCGAAAAATGTGTCGTTTTCTTCAGTTGTTGGAAACAAAGGCTTGACAGACAAGTCCACTTGGGATGACTAGATGCAAAATGCGTGTTGCAAATGTGATCGTCCTTAGTTTTCAAAAGTGAAACTTTGATCCGTGTCTTTTGACAATCGTCTTTCACAAACATCTTCAGCACTTTCAACTTGGCCGTCTGTGTGGAATATCAAGGGAATAAGTTTAAAGTTTAAGCTTTGTCGACCCTTTTATGTGGTTAGACAGTGTAAAAGCACACACGCCCATTGTTACAAATAAAAACATGAATCTGGTCGCCGGCTTTCTTCGTATATTTATGAATCAATCGATAACTCTAAACACGATAGCTCTTCGGTCAATGGAGTTTCAAAGTAGTGGCGGGCGGACTACAGAAATAGGCGCTTTGTGGTTGTAGCCCCGTTGTTCTTATTTAAATGTGTGCTCCATATGTAGCTGTGTGTAACTAGATTTTAGCTACTCAACGTAGGTAATATAGACTGATTTTCGGTCCCAGTGGGCGTTTATTAAGAATAATTGGTAGCACTTCCAAACTGAACAAAGCTGATTAAGGGCTTCTTGCCATACTCCTTTAGATAACTCAGAAGTACTGAGAAGTACTGCCTAGAAGTACTGAGATGTGCTTTGTGTTCATGGTCTGCACAAAGAGACGATTTCGACTTAAGTGGATCCTACATAAAGAAGGGATTGGTAGCAAGTTGATGGCTGCCGTCAAAGTCACCTGTATTCCAAATAACCCCTAGCTTTCTGTTTCTCAAATGTCATCGTGCCAGTGCACAATCCGCTACACCACTCTTGAGTTCACTTGTTAACTTTAGAGTGTTGCCACGACTCCATGCGATGCAAAAATCCCTGCCTACCAATGGAGATATACATGTTTTGCTTAGAGGGAGTGAATTAGTTCTGAGGGAAACTTATCCAGTCCGGAATTTCATTGCTACCAAGTAGGACTGTTCATGTGAGTTTATTGATTCATTCGAGAGCTCGGAGTCCTTCAGTGGTTTGTAGTTCTCCATCCTACCATTGTTTAACGTACTTACGAGGAATCATTATTGTTCCACTAGTGAAAGTTAATACCAATTTTCAGTCACATTTAAAGTGTTGATCCCCGAAACCCTGTTCTCATCGTTCCTGCTCCTAGTGTATGGGGTGTTTGCTAAGACCGTTGGTTAAGCAAGGTCCATTGAAAGGGAAAATGAGCTTCTTTGTAGTGATACGACGTGGCACAGAAATAGATGCAGCGCAGAGCAGAAAGAGCATTAGCCTTAAAAACCTGCCGTCCACCCGCTCTTTGCCCCAGCTGTCACAGTCGTAAAATTTAGCTTTATAGGCTCCCTTTAAATCACTTCCGGACTCGCAGTTGGTGGAAAACTTTCAATCATGTAGCAAATGCGATTGGCTTAGATTGATTGAAGTTTATGGAAAATTATACACTCCAAGAGTGTAAAGATCGATTTAAATCTCCAAAAGGCTTTGATGATAACCGTTATGTAGGTTTTAGGTGTAAAGGACTCTCACATCCGACATAGCCTATGGTTTAGGCCACGCTTCATGCAAAAATTTAAAATCCCAACTACCAGAAATAGTTGTTAACACTGCCTTTAATTAACCTAGATAAAGCCATTTTCAGGCTTAAGCACTTCCTCTTTTCGTCCTTGGGAAGCCGTAAAACCTCACACTAATTCTAAAATTTCAGCGTAATAATGCCAAAAGGTCGTGGTATCCTTGCTTTCATATTTTTTTTGACATCGCCGGAGAAATTTCGGTAACCAGATTTTGCTAATTGTGGGCGTCATTGGGATTTGCGTGAAAAGACACAGAAACGTGGTGGTGGATTTACTTTGCAGCAGATGCTTGTTTTGAATGTATTGTCACGATTGCAAATACGTGTTTTAGCGCCAGAACCTACCTAAATCAATCCGTTTCCTTGCTTTTGTTTAATTAATTTCCCACTGTTTCAATTCTTTTCACGTTGATACATCAATGGATTGTGGGTATTCCTAAGACTAAAAGGATCTGCTTACAAAACACAAAATTACTTCTGCTATTTTGAGGTGAATCAGATCAAAATCTTTCAGAATTCACGCGCTGTCGTTTCATTCTATCTTCGAATTACCGTCGTCTCAATGTGATTTTGTATCAACAGTGCTGATTTTAAATTATGAAAAATGGTTCTCACCATCACCTTTTTTACGGCCTCTGTGCTTAGCCCAAATACGGCCATAGTCATGGGTTCAAATGAAGGTAATCTTATCAGTGAATTCCAGACCTATCTGCGGGTAATGGCAAGGCGAAAGTGGAACGGCACCACTATCTGTGAATTGGGCCGTCCATGTAATTGTGAATTTCATTCAAAGCCAAGGTTTTGAAATAAGGTTCCCCATATAATGCAACTGAGTCGCTTTCCTGTTTCTTCAATTCAACTTATCCACCTTTTGCATTTGGTATGCGTTTTTTTTCACAGATTTCGTCTTGAGGCAGAGAAAATATCACATTTAGAGGAGAACGGTTTGGGCGTTGGCATCGGGCATGAGGACTCATTCACATTTACGATTAGGATACATTAAGTAATAACCTTAAAATCTACCTCCCTGCCTTCTTAGTTTTAATGTATGTCAATACTTTTGTTGTGAATCGTGTTTATTCAACATCTTAATCCGATCGATTCGCCTCCGATACAAGGCCCCTCTTCTCGCATCATGGCGACAGCAGCGCAAATTCTCAACCCCCCATCATTCACACGTATATGTATCTTGGATTAACCTCACACCTAGATCTCGATGTTAGCGCACGTATGACTCACGCATCCGAGATATAAATACACACGCGCAAACCCGACACGACGACACCAATTCTGGTTGAGCTCTGAAGTAAACGGTTGTGTCCCGTCCGCTCCGGTCTTCTTCTTCATTGCGGGCATCAGGCAATCGTAATCAAGCCAGGGTTAATTCAGTGGCCCCGGCGTGGTTCAGGACCACATGCTGGGGCCCACAACACTTTCAATGAGCCGGCTGCTGTTGCACATGAACGCAGCGCTAATACTTGCCCCGCATCTTTCAGATCATCCACTGAGTCTCCTATACACAAAGCAGCCGAAATCAGTAGTTGAACTGATTTTCAAATATACCAACTAATGTGGAAGGGGCCTTAGGCACTCGAACACTTAGTTCTAAGCTTTTCAGGGTAAGGGCTCTTCATTCTTGCTGAAACCAAAATTGTTTCAGCCAGACTAGTAGCCAAAGTATGCGATCTACATCCAATGAATAAAATGTCTTGAACTCCATATAGGCGGAATAAGGGCTTTTATTACTCTTGAAGAGCATTCCAAATGGCACGAGTGTAAATTCATTCATAGAATTCACGCCAATTAAACCCCCGGTTGTACCTGTTTAATGGTGCCGCTGTCAAAGTTTTTTTTGAAAAATATCTATGCATAAAATGTGTCATTTTCAGGTTAGCCTTTCCCAGCAAAAGTCAATGAAGCATCTTGAAATTATTTTTTAATTCATTCATTGTGTCCAAGGCATGTGAAAGGGTCGTCTCAAATGCATTACTTTCTTGGCTTTAGAAAACTTTGAGGCAAAAATAGTGTAACAAAATTGACTCCTATGAACAGGTAGTTATGCACCAGTGTAATAAGTCCGTAAACTAATTCCACCGGTTACTGCCATGCATTCTTTAGCGAAATTGCGTATAAAAAAGTGTGCAATGTGAAACTGAGAGCTCTATGAATTGAACTTTGATAACCGAATGGATCATGTGTATGTAAGATGGGGTTTTGACAACAAATTCGCCTCCTGCCATTTGTCAGCAATGAATTTATGGCAGAAAGTGGATGATTTCGTTTCGGGAAGCGCTGAAGGTTGCCAAGAGCACTAGGTTTTATATTGAGGGTGTGGGTGGGCCTTATATTTCATTTATGACTTAATCAGGAACATCATGATAATTTGGTAATTCAAACGCATTTACTATCACCGTGTATAACCTGTAATAGGGATGATCAATAAAAACGTGTTCCAGTTAAGAGGTTCATTTAACTATCAACTGTATGCTATTTTGAACAATATAAACTTCCGCATGCTAATGCGCCTATACATGCTTAAACTTCGAGATACATTCTAAATTTAAAGTATTGGCACAAAACTCAAGTCACCGTTACATAACAACTTTTTTAAATTCAGGCTTGACTATCTGAAACTCGAACCTTGCTGTTGTATTGCAATGACAAATATACCCTGAGATGATCTTCGGTGTACTTTCAACACTGAAGTCCGGTTTTGCCATAAGCTTCTAGTTAACCTTGTAAAAATCACCAAATCGGACTCAAACATAAAATGCACAACTAATGAAGTTGGTTTCGTTGATGTTCATACTGGATTGGCTTTCATTGGACCAATTGGCGAATAAGGACGTAACCAATGGCAGTTTTCTACCAAACAAGGTGGTTAACGTACTGTGTAACGAGCCAACCAAGCGTGCAACCAGGTGTTCAACATTCACTTAGCATGCAATCAGACTGTGAGGGCATTATGTCGAAAGGAGGGCAAATGTATCATCCCAGTGTGGATTTTGAAGAAACTCCCACGACTGTGAAAATCGACTTGAACGCAAAGCGGGGATCAGGTGGTTTTGTTAATCAGCAATGGAAGGGTGAATTGAATAAAACCGTTTTTCTAAGGCTTCTTATGTCAAGACAGGTAAGTCATTAATGGGTTGAATTTTAATGGTGATTGATTTCATTGATTCCAATCAATGCTGACTAATAAGATTTACCTTAAAGTGACAAAATTAAATGTCAACGATTTCTACCGTTAAAATTTTACTAACTCAAAACTTTACCACTTATAGGAGGCTGGATGCATTATTGGGAAGGTGCGTCTATTTTAAACATTTGGAATTAAGTTAATCTTATAGAAAGGTGAAACCATCAAATTTCTACGGAAAAGAGTAAGTTTTGGTTTTGGAAATTAACAGATGAATTGAAATCGAAAATTTTGCAATGCGTCATTTGATTAAACAACTTCAAACAGCACCAGTGACAAAAT